TTATTTGGTTTTTGGTCTATATCAGAATTATAAATTACACTATTATCTTATATCAATAAATGTCTCTCAATTTTATCAATTATGCAAGCATTTGCCTAGTAATTAGTCTCTCTGTGTATATCATCAAAGATTTCAAAGATTTCCTTACATCCGGTTTCAGGGTTCGGATTTACAATCCACTAGGTGTCACCCTTTCCTCAGTCTCACTGTTAATTATCTACGCAGCAAAATTCTCTTTCCAATACAGTTCACTGTCTCTGTCTCATTGTCTCTGGCACTGTTCCAAACTCCAAGGCAAATAAGTGTCAAATACTTATAAATTCAACAGGCAGCAGAAGGGAAAGTGAGCAGGAAAAGAAAAGGGGCAGTGTACCAACCCAGCTGTTAAACAGTCTCTTCTTTGAGCTTTCCAAATCTTTTCGGCAAATATTATCTTCCACTCCACTCCTGTCTGTCCATGTCAGAATTTCGTTCTCACTGTGGCTGATTCCTTTAAACTCTTCCGGCTGTCCGTTTCGTCCCAGCGTCTCTGCGTCTCTGCTCCAGTTCTTTTTGGCAAAGTTGAGCTGCAAAAACAGCTTCTCTTCTGGCTCTTTCTTCTTTCAGCTCACTCTCTCTGCCAGTTTCGCATTACCTTTCTCTTTGGGTTGTCAGCAATAGTAACAAGTATCCGATTTCACTTCCTCTCTGTCTTCGCTCGCTTCTTATGCGGCCGCCATTCGCTTCAGTCCTAACCAAAAGGCAGAATATCTCCTTGTCCATTTAGGGGGGTTCTCCTATTCGCGGGGGGATTTGCCTTATCACCCCAGCGTCTACAGAGTATCCCCTTTAATTTGTTGACCCCTTCAGGATCAACAGTGCTCAAAAAAGAACCCAAACAAAGGAGTTAGAGTTAGAGGTTAGGAGAGCTTCCTTCCCTCCACTCTAAGCACGGTGACGTCACCACAGGAAGTCCTCAGGCTCCAGTACTTCTAATCCTCCTCTCCTGAAATCCAATCTCTACTCTGTAGGGATGGAGTGGGAGAGTGAGGCTCCCTAAAAGGCC